TAGAGGTCTTCCGACCAGTTTGTTCCATTATCTGAGTATATGTTCTCACTCTTGCCTCGTCTTGCAAAGAACCGTCGAAGAGCCTCCAGGAATTTGTCTGATGAAAGGTCGCTAACAGCTTCGAGATGTATCGCTTTTGTTGCCATACAAACAATTACACAAATGTATCCTTTATAAGTTTTTTGACCTCTTCCCTTTGAGCATCGAATCTGGAACGGTCCGGCGTAGTCGATTCCAGTATTTTGAAACGAGTAATCAGCCGTTACTCGATAAACTGGTAAATTTCCCATTAGTTGACTGGACATCTCTTGCTTGTATCGTATGCATACAATACATTCCCTTAAATATTTCTTTAAGGAATTTTGTATGACAAATATCCAGAACTCCCTCTGAATATAAGTTCTCATAATGTTAATTCCGCCATGCAGAGTTTCTTTATGAAAATCCTTCACAATTAACTAAGTCAAATGTGACTTATCCAGTATAATTGGATGTTTTACATTATACGGTATCATTGCGTTTTGTAGTCGTCCACCAACTCGAAGTACGCCATCACTATCCAAAAAATGGTCTTTTGTTTTTGAGTAGTCTGACTTCGTGTCCAAAATCTAGCTGTTGTTGTATCTTTACCACAGCAATCTTCGCTAGCTTTAATTCCTCCACCGTAAGATGTGACGGCTGTTGCGATTTTCCTCTCAGCTTTGTTCTGAAGCGTAATATATACGCCATTACTCTAAGAAGTTTGTCGATCGATGAATACTTCGATAAAAGATGGTTTCGGATTTTATCAATGTGGATACCACAACAAATTCCGATTCCTTTTGAGTGGGCCAGTGTTGTGCATCCATAGATAGCCAATTCGGCCCTCTCCACCAAATTTCACAGATTTAAAGAGCTGGATTTTCTCCCGATTTAACGTAATTCCATTTGACATTGGGAATTAGTTTATTGATATCTTCCACTCTAGCACTCTCAAGAAATAGTAATTTGCGAATCACTCCATGCATGCGTTGTAGTCTTGTTGCTCCATATAGTCTGCACTTTCGCTAATAACTTAGCTAGTAAATGCGCAGCACATAATTCCAACTTTGGAATTGTTTTCCTGTTTTTTATAGGATTTACTTTGCTTCTTGCTGCTAGCAAGGTAACTCTGCCGCCTACTTTTGTATACACAGCCGCTGCATATGCTTTCTCTGATGCATCGCAGAATCCATGTAGCTCCATATTACCTTTGGAGCATCCAGTCCAGCGTGAAATGATAATTTCTTCTAAATCTGATAGGCCTTTAGCATATTCCATCCACCAGTTTGCTAAGTTGGATTCCAATTCAACGTCCCAAGTCATCGGTAACTTCCACAGTTCCTGAATGAAACATTTGCCTTGAATCGTTACAGGTGCCAACCATCCTAGTGGTTCGAAAATTCTGGACAACTGTGATAACACTAACCGCTTTGTTATGCGTGTTAGCATTGGGTTTTCTGCCGAAAACGTAAATGTATCCTTCTTCGGATCCCATTGGAGTCCTAAGGTTTAGATCGATTCATTCTCCTCAATGCAGATTTTCTCCGTAGCACCGTCGTCCTGAATGTCGGCTAAAATACGTTCGTCATTTGCAACCCATTTTCGCAGATGCATGCCGGCCTTCTCCATCACTTGTCTCAATTTCCTTTGAAGTTCATAGCACTCGTTGACTGTGTCTCCACCAGTTATGAGGTCATCCATATAAAATTCGTCTCTTATTGTTTCTGCTAAGACGCTATCCTCTTGGCAAAGAGGCTATCCATTTGTCGTCTTTGCGGATGCGTCAAAAACTACTCGTAACTTCGTAGTTAAGCTTCCAGGCCTGATGATTGCTTGATGGGGTAAATAGTATTTACCTTTACTCGTTGTCTTTACAGATTCCATATGTCCCATCTTAAGGTATTCTTTCATGAATTCGTTGTATGCAGCCCAGTTCTTTGGGTTTCTTTGAAACTTCTTTTCCATTTCCATAAGCCTTGCCATTGGCTGTTTGCGAGAGTCCCCAAGCTTTGTCTCTTGGTGGAATGGAATTGAAACCACAAATCTGCCTTCCTCGTTCTGCATTGTCTGTAATCGTCTCATCGGCTTCATCTTCCAATTCCCAAAAGCGTTCCAGGTCCTTTAGATTTAGTGTAGTGGCACTTATAATTTTTTGCTTTGCTGCTCGAGTTATATTTCCGGACACAATTCATCCAAATTTGGTTTTTTGTCCCAAGATTCCATTTACGGTTTTTATTTTCTCCATTATGATTATGAATCAGGGGAAATAGATCCACACCTATCACTATGTCAATTCTGCTTGGCTCGTTGAATCGTGGATCTGCTAGCCTGTAGCCCTTCCACTCTTTGTTGATATCAATATCAAACTTTTTGGTGGGAAGGGCTCTATGGAGTGTTGGTAAAACCAATGCTTCCGTTGATGCTTTGAAGCTGCTTGGAATTTTTGGTTTGATCGTCAGGTGGACATTTTTTTTTTAAAATGGAGTAGTCTGGGAGATACCTTCGACCTCTATAGTACTCTTTACTCTGAGAATCCTTAATATTTGTGCTGCTTTTTCTGAAATCAGCGTCTTCTGGGATCCACCGTCAATAAGCGCCGTCAACTCGTTGTAACCTCCAGCTTTGTGTTTCTCTAAAACGACAGTTGTAGCCAATAGTGTGTCTTGGCCTTGCTTAAGGCTATTGCTGTTGATACTGCGTTTTGTGTCTTCATGCAGAAGGCTGTTGTGTCTTTTGGAGCATCGATTGCATGTAATTTCCTTTCTGCAGTCGATTGCATTATGCTTTCCAAATTTCCGTAGCAGAATTTCTGCTAAAATTACGTCAGCAGAGCTTCCTATTTTTCCTTTTTGCTTTATGATGAATATGCTCTCGGTCGCAGTATCCAAAAACTTCCCTAAATTTTTCTCATCATGGGGCAGCAAGCACTCCAGTTCCATTAATTTGTTGAAGTGTTGGGAAAATATTTTTCTGCTATTCTCATAGCGTTTGCAGATAAGCTCCCACGCTGCTGCATAGCTAGCTGCTGATCCCGTTATCAAATGGCTAACCACCATTTGAGCTTCTCCTTTTAAGCAGGCTCTTAAATATCCCAGCTTCCTTGTGTTGCTGAGATCTTTCCTGCTGTCTATTAGTTCAGAGAACAGCTCGTAAAATGTTGGCCATTCCTTCGCATTTCCATTGAACGTTGGAAGGTCCACTTTTGGGAGTTCTGGCACGTCGCAGTTGGAACTTTTGAACTGTTCCAACTTCATTTGAAGTACCATCTCTAGTGCGGCAACTTCAGATTGCAGAATGTCTGCCTCATCTTGATCAAAGATAGTTCTGTCATACTTGTTTTCAAGCAGTTTCAGTGTGTCCGTCACGTTGGACCAATGACTTTCCATCATTGCCAGCTGCTTGACTAGTTCAATCTCACTTGAACTATCCAGGGTTTCGTAGATTAAGCTCATCTGTTGCCTCACCCTGTCCGCTCTTCTATCCAGCAATTGAACCAGATTATCAACTGAACTGGATCTCCGAGCTGATGCGGTATCAGATAATTTTGATCCACTTGGTATATTTATTTCTTCAAGTGTTTCTACCTTTAATTGCGACTCCTTGTAGGCCTTGACAGCATCCATAGTTTTAATAAATACTTTATCATTAAAATATTGATGATCGCCAACTCCCAAATTTACCAGCGCATTATTGTTAGTAGTAAATCGAACTACCAATGCTTCTATTGCTGGATGCCTTTTCCTTGATTGCTTGCAGTATTTTGTTCTGCAGCTCTCCGTGGTCTTGCATCAATTTCACAGATCTTTCCGACAACATCTTGGGAAAACAATCATTGTGACTTTTTTGTGCTTTCTGCTTGTATTCTTTGGCGTGATCCGTTGGAGGATTTTTTGATTGGTCGCCCAGTTGACCTAGCTATGCATCGACTCACAGCTGATTGCTCAGCCAAAAAAAAGCAAGAAAACAATGTTTCACCTTATAGTCCTAGTACTTTAAGGCGTGGTCTTTTATTCTGTGTTTCTTACCACTGGTGGGGGAAACAACAGAATCACTCGAATAACCTTGCTCTTTTTACTTTGAAGCGCTGGTTTTTCTTCTGTGTTTCTTACCACTGGTGGGGGAAAACAACAGAATTTCTCGAAGGACCAAAATGTTCACACTATAAACTAATGCGTACACTTAATTAGTTCAATTCGGGTGTTTGAATCTAACTAACTCGCTACTGCGAGGGCATCGCCTTTTATTCATTCTTACATAGGTTCTTATCATCTAATTATATAATGCAGCGCTTGTAAGACGCTGCAGTCTGCGTTGGTCAATGCAGCTGAGGTTTATCTTAAATCTATGTTTGAAGCCTATGACCGCGCTAGTCACCTCCCGCGTGATCATATCTCTTGACACTTCGGCAATAGACCACTGCAATCGTACTTATCTGTAGTTGCCACTTATGCTGTCCCGTGACATGTTTATTGCAGCCCTTAAATAGAACATATTTATAGATTGTCTACTTATCATGTCTAAACACATGTTTAGACACAGTTTTGTGTGGTTTGTTGCGTTAGAGTGGGCATGGCAAAATTTGGAACAAACTTGCGCTGCATGCTTAGTCTCAACGTTCTAGCTTTTGCACTTTCTGAGATAAAGGCGACCAGTTACATACTGTTACCTGTTACCTTCTACCTGTAACATACTTTTCAACGAATCTAGTATACCCTTTAGCACTCTTACTCGTAGAGTAAAAGGGTATAGGGAAAGGGAAAAGGGAAAGCAGCTCATAAAAGGTCAAAAACGAGTTATGATCGTAAAAGAAGTTGAAATAAGAAGTTGAGTTCAGTTTGAGGATTAAAATTAAGCAGATTGGTGTTCTTTATTTAAAATTATAAAACTAGTTTATTAAATAAAATTCGTTTTTTTTTAATAAACATATGGTGAAACACAAATTGCGTGAGGAACTCGATTATAGCGTTAAATCTATAACAATGTCTAAGGTTCTATTTTGTTTAACGATACAATGCTACACGCTCTTTTATCTTTTTTAGAGCCAAGTAACAGGCTTTGGCTTCTCAACGCTTGTTCCCTTCTATTCGAGGTGGAAATTATCGAAACGTATTTCGCGGCAAGAGTATATCTGTAAGTGCTGGTCTCAGTAGGGATTTGTCTTTGTATCGAGCGAGGTCACAACACTTAGGATATAAATGGTCTTGTACATCAAATAAAAAACAACTTACAGAAGTGTGTCAACAGAACATGGGCACATGTAAGTTTCGAATATATTTTCTATGTATAAGTATTAATAATGTTTACTACACAGGTAATAGGATAATTATACCTGCATATAGCCAACCCAATAATCAGACATTCCACGTCGTGCTGTTAATAAGATCTACCTTCGATCCTCTTCGTACAGCTACTACAAAACAAACTATAGTGTTTTCTTCATCTCGGCACTTAATAAATATAAATATTGCATGCGTCAGCAATTGCAATGGTACAAAATACACTATACAAATGCCAATTCATCTAAAGTGACAATGCTTGCGTTGTCGAAATAAAAAAATTTTTAAATGGATCTGGCGAGTGGAGTCTTTACCAGTGGAAGGAGCATCAAAAAGGCTTATTTTTGATGTTAAGGAAACTAAAAAGCGCTTACTTTCAATAAACCTTAATGTAGAGGCTGTGAATCGATATAACCCAAAAATTACTTATTACGGAAAATCCTGGGTTTTTTTGGAAAAGAACATGGGCCCTGCAGGTACTACGTGCTCAATAAGCCCCAAGGTCGGAAAGGCGCATGAGACACAATTTTTATTACATTGCAATCAAAGCCAAGCTAGATTTAAGCCCCTAATGTATTGTATTGGAGTTGACAATTTTTTAATCCATGAATGCAAAACCGAAGAAGATATACAAGTCCACAGAACACATTATTGTTATGGTAAGTAATAATATACTGCTTTTGTTCTCTTTCTTAATATTTATATAAATATGGAATTTTGCTGACCATTATGAGACGCAGCTTTATTAGTTTTTTATCTAGAATATGCCGCTCTTCTTACAGGCACTCCAAATCTTTCGATATTGTGTACAACCAATACCCCAAGCGGGATAGCTCGGTCCCAAAATTAATGAAAACAAAGGCAGCACAAGAAATATTTTTGTCGCAAGAGTTAGTCTTAAGCTATAAAGCAATAAAGATGTGAACGTATTTCATTGCTCTTTTTATTATTTTATTTCTTAGTGTTGTGTTAGTCCACGGGACGGGACATTTGTTCGACTCGGTTTGACTATAAACATTTCACTGGCGCAGTCTGTGGGATACAAAAAGTATCCGAAAAAAGAACATCGAGTGGAAAATAAATTAAATTTTATAATCCAGTTCTCATACAAATTTTCCAACGCAAAGACGCGAACACCCTTCATCTTTTGGTTATAATTCCAATTCGGTTGCTCAACACAAAAAGTGGAAGTGGTATAAATTAATAAATAAAATGTTATAAACTAGTTCTTTTAAATAATTCCCAACACAAATACGAGAAACCCTTTGACTTGGATTATAATTCCAATACGGTTGTCTAACTCAAAAAGTGGAAGTGGAACTAGAAAACTAATATAAAAAAGGCAACTAGCAACTAAAAACCAACATTTAAAATTCTACGAATGTTAAGTTAAACAAACTCTTATATTTTAATACGTGACATCAAAATAAAAATAAAATACAATTTTAAATATTTGTTTTACCCTGTCGGTAACGGTAGGACCGTCTTATTGGCCTACATTGGCAAAGGAAATTCACCAAATAGAAATTAAACCAGAATCAATATTTAAAACTGCATTCTTTACCAAAAGCGGGCATTATGAATACATTAAAATACCATTTGGCCTTAGGAATGCACAAGAATTAAATTACAGCGCTATCGAAAAAGAATTACTCGCCATAGTTTGGGCAACAAAAACCTTTCGACATTATTTACTAGAACGACAGTTTATCATTGCTAGTGACCATCAAGAATTACTCGCCATAGTTTGGGCAACAAAAACCTTTCGACATTATTTACTAGAACGACAGTTTATCATTGCTAGTGACCATCAACCCCTTAGATGGTCCAATATCAATACCTTGGGTTCACTAATTCACAACAACAAGTACCACCCGTCCAAATTGACGACGAGGAAAATCAAAATAATTTCCAAACGAAAATTTTCAGTTAACAGCCCCAGACATACATAGAAATATCATATAAAGATTACACATACAAATGCCTAATAGACACAGGATCCACGATCAATATAAATATATTTTGACTTTCTATTCAAAATTCAACATCAAATGGCCCTATTACTTTGAAGAGCTTGATTATCTTACCCAGCAATCAACCATTTTATGTTCACAGTTTTTCTAATAATTACGATATGCTAATTTGCAGAATATTGTTGAATAATGCACAAGCATTTTTAAATTACAAAAATAGCAAATTTACTCTTTTCGACAAAAAATATATAAGTTTATTACTTCAGAACCGGGAACAATTTAAAATTTTTATATTCAAATACAACACATAACTCCCCAATTTATTCAAAACATTACCGACTTGCTCAAAAGCACGAAATTTAAGTCGAAAACTAAGTACAGGAAATGTTTAATCAGGGATTAATTAAGGAAAGTAATTTACCATTCAATAGTCCTACCTGGGTAGTACCAAAAAAAAACTGATGCTTGTGGAAAAATTAAGTATTAGAGTAGTAATTGATTATAGGAAACTTAAACAAATAACTATCCCTTACAGATATCCAATACCAAACATGGACGAAATCCTTGAAATGTCAATATTCACAACTATTGATCTGGTAAGGGATATTCACCAAATAGAAATGAAACTAGAATCAATATTTAAAATCGCATTCTTTACCAAACGCGGGCATTATGAATACATTAAAATGCCAACATAGTGTATTCATTTATCCGAAAAACCAATAACCTATTTCAAAAAACAAACAATTTTCGTTAAGTCCGATAAAAATAAAGTATTCAACAATATTTAGTAAAGAAAATTAGTGACAAAATTATTTAAAGAAAATCACTTCTTTCCCGATAGCAGACTAATAATTCAGAATATAATCATCGAAAGCACCATATGTAATTTGGCTAACACAGAAAATAGAAACACCAAAATGTCTTTTAAAATCACACATAATCCTGAACATTGCCGTCACAAATTTGTCGGAAAACATAACATCAGTTGCATTGACATTTATTCTAAGTTCGCTACACTTGAGCAAATTAAAACAAAGGACTGGATAGAATGCAGGAACTCATTAATGCGCATTAGCTCTCTCCAGTTTGAGTTTAAGGCGATTGCTTGAAGCAGAAGGAATCGAATTGCAACTCAACACGACAAAAAACGGTGTAGCAGACGTCGAAAGACTACATAAAACAATAAATGAAAAAATCCGCATAACATAAAACCATAAAATTAAACATGACACGACTGGACAAATACCTGCTCAAATTTTCTTATACGCTGGGCATCCAATATTAGATACTCAAAAAATTAAAGAAAATAAAATAGATAAAATAAATGAAGATCGACAGGAATTTAAGATAAATATTAGAAAACCCATTTAAACCAAATAAAAATGTAGAAAAAATAGATGAAGACCATTACAAAATCACTAATCGAAATAGGGAAAGCAAATACTACAAAACACAATTTAAGAAACAAAAAATAACTAATACCGTTAAACTTCCACACGAACCTTGTGTATAATGTTGTTTCTATTATTCACCACAAGCAAACAAACCCAGATATACTTGGCCGAACACGACCGTGAAAAGACCTCCCTTTCGGTGAACGGCGGAAAGTATGAATTTTGTCGATTACCGTTCGGGTTGAAGAATGCGGGAAGCATCTTCAAAAGAGCGATCGACGACGTCTTACGGGAGCAGATTGGCAAATCGAGCTATGTTTACGTATATGACGTCATTATTTTTTCTGAAAATTAAAACAACCATGTTAGGCACCTAGATTGGGTTTTAAAAAGCCTGTGTGATGCCAACATGAAGGTATCGAACGAGAAGACGCACTTTTTTAAGCAAAGCGTTGAATATCTAGGATTTATTATCACCAATGGAGGTGCAAAAACCGACCCAGAAAAGGTAAAGGCCATAAAGGAATACCCAGAACCTACAAATTTGTATGAGCTAATGTCATTTTTGGGTCTAGCTAGTTATTACCGTTGCTTTGTTAAAGACTTTGCCGCGATCGCGAGTCCTTTGACAGGCTTGATGACAGAAGAAAACGGCTCTGTCAGCAAGCACATGTCCAAGAAGACCCCTATGGAGTTCGGTGATTTGCAGAGAGATGCATTCGAAAGGCTGAGAAATGTCTTGGCTTCAGAGGATGTAATTTTCAGATACCCTGATTTCAGGAAGCCATTCGATTTAACGAAGGATGCTTCCGCGAACGGTATCGGTGCGGTTCTATCACAAGATAAAAGACCCATCACTATGATCTCTAGGACCCTCAAAGAGATTGAGCCACACTTCGCCACGAATGATAGAGAATTGTTTGCCATAGTGTGGGGTTTAGGCAAGTTACCTATACGGACCTCGCGATATTAACATTTAAGCGGACCATCCGACCATCCGAAAATTAAAAGGTGGAAAACGTATATTGATGATCATAACGCAAAGATCCACTACAAACCGGGTAAAGACAACCATGTAGCTGACGCTCTTTCCAGGCAGAACGTTAATGCCTTACAAAGTGAGCCTCCGTCAGACGCTGCGACTATTCACAGCGAACTGTCACTGAGCGACAGACCAACCAGTAAACTGCTTCAGAAATCAAATTGTTATAGAAGAGCACGTTTCCGACTAAAGCGAAGCTTGGTATTGTTTCGTAGTAAAACCCCCACTTAATCAATTTCGCCGACAAAAGCACCATTTTGGAAATGTTAAAAGAGGTCGTGAACCCCGATGTCGTAAATGCGATTCACTGCGACCTACCCTACAATTGCTCGGAACACAATCGTGCACACAGGGCGGCTCAGGAGAATACCAAGCAAGTCCTCCGCGATTATTATTTCCCCAAAATGAGCTGCCTAGCAAAGAAAGTGGTTGCAAATAGCAAAATATGCACCAAGGCCAAATATGACAGACACCCTAAGAAACAGGAGCTCGGGGAAATACCCATTCCTAGCTATACCGGCGTTGCACATTGATATCTTCTCAACCGATAAGAAGCAATTCTTAACATGCGTTGACAAATTCTCAAAGTTTGCAATAGTGCAACCATTACTGTCCAGAACAATAGTAGACGTCACAGGGCCCCTGCTTCAACTCGTAAATTTGTTCCCCAAAATCCAAACAATCTGACAATGAAACCGCCTTCAATTCGGAAACTATCACCTCATTACTTAAACAGCTACCACATTGACATTGTGAACGCGGCCCCGCTGCATAGCTCGTCAAACGGTCAAGTTGAACGATTCCAGCACCTTAACAGAAATCGCCAGGTGTCTTAAACTAGACAAAAAAACGATACGACAGAGTTAATCTTGAGGGCAACGATAGAGTATAATAAGACCCTACATTCTGTCACTCAGGAGAAACCGGTCGAGATCCCCCACTCGGGCATTAGAGACAAGCTGATAAAGCCCAGAAGAACAACATCGAATGATGCAACCCAGCTAGGCAAAACCGTTTTTTTGAGGTAAGAGACGAGGTTTTTGTCAAAAACAATAAAAGGCTAGGAAACAAGCTAACATCATTGTGCAAGCTAACAACTAACAATGTATTGCTTCATAACAACTAAGTAGCTTTGTATAAACAATGCTTTCTTTTTTTTTTCTTAAGGCTTTATAGAGGCGTACGGTGAAGTCTGGGAACCCCTTTTATGTCCTTTTTCTCTATTGATTCAGCCCATTTGGGCGCGCCGGCTAACTATAGTCTAGTTAGCTTTATCAGTTTAACAAAATTTTAACAATAACAAAACAATCACAGATAACAATAATTTATGATGATGG